AGCAACACTAGGGGGCCACGCGTGTGGGAAATTATTCGACAAGACTGACAACTTTGTTGGCGGTGGCTGGCGAGGGCTGGCGCGCCTGCTGGCGTGCTCGGCCTGCTCGGCCCCGGGAGTGCGCCGTGGTCGCGGACCCTTGCGAGGTGGGCGCCGCCAGGTCGCCGACCTCGGCCCACCGCGCCGCGCACAAGACCGGCGTAACTGACCGCTGGCCGCGATCGAGTTACACGGCCGGCTCTTTGACGGCGACCTGGCCGCGCCGTCGAGGACGCCGCCGAAAACTTGCAACATTGCGGCGGGGGATAAATTGGGTCGGACGGTACACCGGACAGCAGCAGGGGTAATATAGGTTCGAGAGAGAAAGAGAGAGAGAGTGGGGGGGGGGCGTGACAGGGAGAGGTAGGGCGGGCGCTTCTGAAAGTCGCAAAGCAGGTCGCCGATGCGAGGTCGGCGTGCGGGCGAGAGTGGGGGCCCCGGGCTGCTGCGTGCGTACCCGCCGCGGTACCCACCTCTCTCACGGTGCTATCGATTGAGAACCACCTTCCACTCCACCTTCTTCAGGTCCTCGCCGCGCGCCGCGTCAGCTGGGCTCGCGCCGGCCGCGCGCTGCTGCCCCCTGGGCGGTGGCGGTGCGAAGCTGCTGCCGCTCCCCCGCCCCCGCCGCGCCCTCCCGCCCCCGGCCAGCTGGGCGCGCGCCGCGCCGAGGCAGCCCGGCAGCGACCACCAACGCCAGCGGCATGCCGGCCGCACCTACAAGGAACGCACCGCGGAGTACGCACACCTCAGCCTACAAAAAAGGTTTCTAGTTTTCGTGCCCAGTTCGTGCCCGTTAGAGCACCCGATGGCGCGCGACCCAGTTAGGGCTCTGTGAGTGAACGGGTGAGCGCCCCGGTGAGCGCCCCGGTGAGCGCCACGGTGAGCGCCACGGTGAGCGCCCCGGTGAGCGCCCCGGTGAGCGCCCCGGTGAGCACCTCGCCGCGGCCCTCACTACAGTATACTGATTGGTCAATTGATCCCTCCCGATCGGCCGGGCATCGCTTGGCCGCCCCCCAAGCGCCTGTCTGCGTACATCAAGTACACACGGCTGCGCACGCTGCCGCACGCTGCGCACAGGTCGCCGGCGCCGGCGCGCCCACTCTGCCAGAGCACACGGCCTCGAGCGAGTCTTATTCATTCAATTCTTTATTAGTAACAACTACTGGCATTTGCAGCGGCGCTCGTATGGCGCGGCTACAACGAAGGTGAGCATTTTCTTCTATCGCAAAGTAGTGACTTCATTTCCAGTCGATGTCGTGACACAAAAATAAAGAACGCCGTGGTAACCTTTCTTTGAGAGTCTTTTCCACCGTCGTCTGCTGCTCGTCGGCTGTGTACCGCCTCTTTAACTCTTTGCCCCGCACCTGCCTCAGGTGGTGGGGGCTGGGCGCCGGCAGCGCGCCGCGCAGGCCAGCAGGCGCGCACCGCGAGGCATCCCGCCTCGCCC